GGCGGTAGTAGTGGTCTCCTGAAACTGATAAATATTGAGAGAAATAGGAGGGAAATCGATGATCGCAGACCGGCTCATCGTCCTGCTCATGCGAATCCTCCCTTGATCTCGAATTGCTGGCCTCCCTTTGCTCATCTGCCATTCTTGTCCTAGAAGGAAGTGATGCTTTCCTAGAATACCTTTCCAATACTCTACTGGTGTAGTAGCTTAACTTCGATTTACCTTAATTTCCTGGACCTGCCAGTCTTGCGACTCCTTCGTCTCTTCTTCGGTGGCTCCGTCACTTCCTCATCGACCTCTTTTTTCTCCTCAAGACTCTCCAGATCTTTCGAAACGGCCTCATCATCAGGTTCGAACTGAAATTTGAGTGTTTCCAAAGGGAACTGCTGCCTCTAATGGTGATTTTACCCACCCTCAGCCTTTTCCAGGTCTTTGAAGCGTGCGCGCGCCTCATACCGGTTGGTGACATGCTCGGCACTCTGTGCAGGAATTGCTGTAATGGAAAATATAGAGGCTTTCTGAACGCATATTCAAGTGAACAGCCGAAATGGGTCTCTTAGGAGGACTGTCATTCATTAGCCAATGTTTTTGATAGATAAACAGTTCGAGCATGACCTCATCCTTTATGAGCATGCCCCTTCACAGGCGTCAAACCAGCCAGGGATATGCACAAAGGTGGTTAATAATAGCAGAGTCACTGAGGAAAATCAAGAGCCCAGACGCGCGTTATTTATTATTTAAGCGCGATTGTGAGGCATCGATTATCGGCGCTTTCGCTGCAGACGCTGGGGCGTGTCAACGGACCGGATTTGACCGGTACAAGCCCGTTTTCCACTAAGCGTTGCCGCCGCTTGCCCGCTTCTACAGGCATTCGAGGCTGAAAATCTGAAGAAAGGAAAGAATCGCTGCTGTGTCTAGAAAGTCTGCGGGCGTGTTATCGCGTGCTACTGACTTGCGACTGGATGGACCTGCGAGTGAATGCACCTTACCAGCCTAGAAAACGTAGTACTTTTTCCAGTAACACTATCGTAAATGTACTCGCGATGGTCATCAGAAAATCTGCGAGCATCAGCGATGGTGCAGGGGCAAGAATCCTTTCTGAGGTGCTGAGAGCCAGGCCACTGTCATACCCTCTAACGTACCAGAGTGGCACCTTTACACACCTTTCCTTTTACTCAATTCACACAAGGCAGTACACACCAACTAAATAGGAAAAAAAACCTGATGCTGGTTCTGAGGCCTTGTTGGTCAGCACGATTTTTTTTTCAAGAAAGCTATCTAAAAAGTGAATGGAGAGGTGGACGGTCTAAGCTTGGTCGGGGCTATACAGTGGCGGCGGCAGATATGTCCTTCCGGATGTCTTCCATTTTTCCACGGCTTCTGGGGTTTCTATCGAGACGTGGGATCAGTGGTACCAATTTTTTAGATCTTTCCTAGATCCAAGCCGTCTTGCAAAAAAGTGTATTCTTGGTATAGAATGTAAGGTGGTGTACCATGGGATGAGCAAAGGTAACCTCCCGTATCCCTCAATACACTCAAAATCCCTGAGATGTGGTAGGCGTGGCTGCGTACTTCAACTAAACGTCGCGGTGGCTGTGCTTTCGGAGAGATATTTCATTTTGACCCAATTGTGGTCGTGTCCCTGTCTAACACGGACCAAGATGACACCTGTCTCGAACT